TTGCAGTGATTTTTGACTGGGATGGCGGGGGGGTGGCCAGCATGGGGTTGGCATGGTTCCGGGTTGGCCGCCGGCCAAGTGGGGGAGGGGGCATATATTAATAGGGGACAGTGGTAAACCCGCTCCAAGCGGCCCCTGGAAAAAGGAAATGTAAGCATCCAGCTGGACTCGTTCCCTAACCCCACCTTGGGACAACCCTCCCTCTGCGAACCCCCGACAGGAACCCAGAGAGCTGGACCAGGGGAAGGGGACCCTCGACTTGAACCCCCGACTTGAACCCCCTAAACGAAGCCACCCAGGAACCCTCGACTTGAACCTCCACCATTCCCCCCTCCTGGCACCGGGAAAGGTTGAACCCCCCCGTACTGCTCGCTACCGGCAAACTGGCGACGGCGAGTACCAGCGCCGGAAGACGACAACAACGACGACGACCGCGACGGCGACAATGACGCCGCCGACTTCGACGACGACGACGAAAACAAAGACGACGACGATTGCGACAGAGACGAGGACGACGACGACGACGACAAGCGACACGACGATGGACGAAGATGACCCTGACGACGACGACGACGACGGCGACAGACGACTGACGGCGACGAAGGTGACGACGATGCCGTCAACGACGACCACGACGACCACGGCAGACGGCCAACGGACGACACGACGGCGACGACGACGACGACAACGATGACAGGGACGACAAAGGGCAACAACGAAGAAGAAAAATATGACGACGACGACGACGGACGAGGAAGAGGATGAGGACGAGGATGAAGACGACGACGAAGAACGGAAGACGACGGACGACGGAAGAACCACGACTGACGCCAACGACCGCAACAGCGAAAATCACGACGACGACGACGGGGAAAAAACACGACGGACGACGGACGACGGACGACGACGACGACGACGACGACGACGACGACGACGACGACGACGACGACGACGACGGTGGCGACGACGACGACGATAGACGACGATAGACGACGACGGACGACGGACGACGGACGACGGACGACGGACGACGGCGACGGACGACGACGGGCGACGACGACGACAACGACGACGACGACCACGACCACGACCACGACTTCGACCACGACGAGCGATGACGACGACGACGCGGACAGGCGGGCGGATGCTCGGGCGGCGAACCCTCACGGCGCGGGTCGGGTCTGGCGGGCAGACCCTGACGGTCGGGTTGGGTCGGGAGGGCGGACCCTGACGGGCGTACATTCCACATGGCACGCACGACGTCGTGGTCGTCGTCGTCGTCGTGGTCGTCGTCGGCGTCGTCGTCCCTCGTGTTGTGGACCGTGTCGTCGTCATTGCGGTCGTCTGTGGCCCGTCGTCCGTTGTCCGTGGTCCGCCGCTGCCGCTGCCGCCACCCTCTGCCCGTCGACGTCGTCGTCGTCGTCGTCCGTCGTCCGTCGCCCGTCGTCGTCGTCGTCGTCATCGTCGCCGTGGTCGTTCAACTCATCAGCGTCGTCGACGTTGTCGTATTCTCCGTCGCCTGCCGTCGTCGTCGTTGCCGCCGTCGTCGTCGTGGTCGCCATCCTTGCCGCCGTCGCCGCCGCAGTCGCCGCCGCCGCCGTCGTCGTCGTCGTCATCGTCGTCGTCATCGTCGTCGTCCTCGCCGTCCACGTCAGCGCAAGTCGTTGCAATCGCATTCGTGGGAGTCGTCATCGTCGTCGTCGCTGTTGCCGTCGCCGACGACGACGAGTTCGGCATCGCCGTCGCCGTCGCCGTCAACGCCACCGCCGCCGTTGCCATTGCCGTTGCCGCTGCCGTCGCCATTGCCGCCGTTGTTGTTGACGTCGTCGTCGTCGTCGTAGTCGTCGTCGTCGTCGTCGTTGTCGTCGCGTCGTCGTCGTAGTCGTCGCCATCATTGTCGCTGTCGTAGCCGCCGCCGCCGTCGTCATCGTCCTCGCCATCGTCGTCGTCTTTGTCGTCTGTCGTTCGTCGTCCGTCGTCCGTCGTCCGTCGTCCGTCGTCCGTCGTCCGTCGTCGTCGTCGCCGTCGCCGTCGCCGTCGCCGTCGTCGCCGTCGTTGCCGCCGTCGTCGCGGCAGCCGTCGTCGCCGACGTCGTCGTAGTCTTTCAGCGCCGGTGCTCGGAGCCATCGCTCGCCAGCATTCCGTAGGGGGGCATGGTGGGGCGGGGGGCGGTTTTGCAGCACCCACCCTCCGTTGCGTCGAGGGGGGGATGGCGCCCGCGACGTCGTCGTCGTCGTCGTCGTCCGTGTCGTCGTCCTTGCCAGTACATCAGAGCGCGCTCTTTCACAGGTATGGGGGGTCAGGTTGTGAGGAAAAACAAGTCCGAGGCCGGTGCCCCCATCCCTCCTCCAAAGGGCCTTTCATCGCCATGCCCGTCGCCCTCCCCTCTTCCTCCTACGCCTCCTCCTGTCGTCGTTGTTGTCGTCGTCGTCTTCGTCGTCGTCGGCGTCGTGGTCGTCGTCGTGGATCTCGCTCTAACGCCGCGCACATTTGCTGTAAAATATTGCATCAGCTTCACGGATGGAGGGCGGTCAATTTTCAAAATGTTGCTCTCGCCGTAGCGCCGCGCACATTCGGCTTAAACGCTTGCAACAGAATCAAGAGTTCGTATGGTGAACGGACCAGAAATGGAGTTATGGTGCGATTTGTGGTTGTCAGGACGCAGAAATCATGTTGATTCGCAGTGTTGAAATCTCAAGATTTGTGTTCTGGCCCGATTTAGGATTATCAAGACGCAGCAGTCACGTTGATTCGCGCGTTGAAATCCGAAATTGATGTTGTGGCACGAGTGAGGGTCATCAACTAGGGCACTTCCCGCACTGAGAATAAACTCTTGTAGGGGCCTATGAAGAGGGGTTTTCGAGGGAGGGTGTACTGCGACATCGTTGACGCGCCGTGGGTGTACACTGGTCCTTCCTCCTCCTCCTCCTCCTCCTCCTCCTCCTCCTCCTCCTCCTCCTCCTCCTCCTCCTCCCCTCCTCCTCCTCCTCCTCCTCCTCCTCCTCCTCCTCCTCCTCCTCCTCCTCCTCCTCCTCCTCCTCCCCCTGCTCGATCGCGCGATAGCGCTAAGGTGAAGTCGGGCCTGTCCCCCCACAGGGGGATTTTCGACGACAAATAAAAAATACCCTCAAAATGCTCGAAAAAGAATCAACAAATAATCGGGGACTATTTTTCAAGTACTGTTTGACCTTTTGGGGGGCATGTTTGGGGTATTTGTTTTATTCTCCGTCGAAAATCCCCCTGTAGAGGGGCACGCCCGACATAACGCTAAGGGTGCAGTCGGGCCTGTGCCCCCACAGAGGGATTTTCGACGAACAATACAAAAACCATCAAAATGCCCAAAAAATAATCCAAACATAATCAGGGACTATTTTTGGGGGCACGCCCGACATAACGCTAAGGGTGCTGCCCCCACTAAACACTTGCAAGAGAAAGACGGAGCCCAGGTCACGAGAGGCAACGGGCGCCCGAGGCAGCCAAGGGGCCCAGCAGGGCCTGGGTCCCATCGGGGAGACTTTCGAGGTCTTCCTCCTCGTCCTACTCCTCCTCCTCCTCCTCCTCCTCCTCCTCCTCCTCCTCCTCCTCGTCCTCCTCCTCCTCCTCCTCCTCGTCCTCCTCTTCCTCCTCGTCCTCCCCCTCCTCTTCTTCTCATCGCCCGCCTCGTCATCTGCTTCTCCCCCCGCCCCTCTATTCCTGTTCGTCCCCCTCCTCCCTTCTCCTCGTCATCGTCTGGTTCCTCCTGCTCCTGCTCCTGCTATCAACCTCGTAAGACGGATGGTAATGCCCCCTGTGCAGCTCCTGGCCAGACGGCCAGGGATGGACAACATGATTGGTTTCAGCGCATTGTGCGGGCTTCTCTTGGGCGGGAAAAAATAACCCGCCCTGGATACAGAGGGACGGTATAGAAGACCCCCTGGGTCCCAAAGGCCCCCATACTGGCCCGGAAGGAGGCACCGGACTGGCGGAGCGGAATCAGTCCCCGGGCTTCGGTGCTCGAGGTCGCGCTCCAAGTTCCCCTCGTCTTGGCCACCCCAGACCATGGTGAGCTGACGCTTCAGGACGACGCCGTGGCCAGCGAGCCCGCCGAGCGAGGATCCTACTTCTGGAGCGCGCCCAGAGAGCGCATGGCCGATTCCGGGGGGGAACCCCGAGTGCCGAAACGTTGACGCCTCGCTCTTGCCTCCGCCCGCCCTCCGCCTCAAAGCCTGCCGCCGTGTTGCTCCCGCCAGCCTCCGCCACCCGCCTTCCTGGCCGACGCGCACTGACCCCCACGGACACTCGGCGCAGGAGGTCCCGTATGGGGCTCGATCGTCAGCCTCCGGCCGGCTTCCGCCGAAGGCGAGCACCACGGCCCGCAGGGGTCCACCAGGCCTACGGAGCTCCTGGGAAGCCAGACTTTGGGACCTCGACTCTCATCTTCCCTCCTCCCTCCCTCCTCCCTCCCTCCCTCCATCTCCCTCTCCCTCTCTCTCTCTCTCTCTTTCTCCCTGCCTCCTTCTCCTCCCCCCTCCTCTTCCACCCCCATCGTTCTCCTCCTCCTCCTCCTCCCTCCACCCCCTCCTCCTCATCGAAGGGCGAAATGTCAAGCGATGCGTTCGTTCGATCCTCCCTCAGTCGTTTTCGCGGCTGCTTGCAAGAGTGACCCTGGGCTCGAGAGACCTTTGGTGTGCGGCTTCAGGGGCCCGCCAGGGGGACGGGGGGAGGGCGCAGATCCAAGCGCACGCAGGCCACTGCTGGGGTGGAAGGACCCCTGCGCCGGCGGCTCCAACATGGGGCACCCGAGGGATGGGGCCCCAGGGACAGGACGGGGCCCCGGGACAAGCCCACACTCTCTGAGGCCCCCCGTCCTCGGGACCCCCTCCCTCCAGGCCCCATCTTTGAACCGCCGACTGCGGGCCCGCGCCCTGGGCCACGCCGGCGAGGGGCCGCTCTCGACGCGAGGCCGACCCTCGGGGCGGCCGCCTGCCCGCAGGGGAAGCCCAGCGGCCCACGCGCGCAGCTCAGATGCAGACGCGCGAGCCCTCCGAGCCCTCGCCGGTCGCCGCGGCCGCCGCCGCCGCCGTCGGTGCTCTTCGTCGCCGCCGTCGCCGCCGCTGTTGTCGCCGCCGTCGTCGTCGACGTCGCCGCCGCCGCCGACGTCGTCGTCGACGTCGTCGCCGCCGCCGCCGTCGACGTCGCCATTGTGACCGCCGCCATCGCCGCCGCCCTTGTCGCCCCTGCAGACCCTCGCCGTCGTCCGCGTCGCCGCCGCCGTCGGTCGATCTGTCGGGACGACGGAGTCCTTGTCCGAGTCCTCTGAGGCGAAGGTCAGCCGCAGCTCGCTGGTGGCCGACGACAGCCGCCAGCGGGCGCCGTCGTCCTGGCGGGCCGCCGCAGGGAGCAGCTCTAAGCCTTCGAGTGCAGCTTCAGAGGCCCCCGAGAGCACTGCAAGCCTTCTCCGAAGGCCTGCGGAGGCCCTTCGAGGGCCTGCGGGATGCCGCAAGAGGCATTCGGATGGCTTCCTGGTGCATCCTGGAGGCCTCTGGGAGCCAGGGGAGGCCCAGGGACCAGAAGTAGGGGGGGAGAAGTGAGCAGGAGGAGCAGGAGGAGGAGGAGGAGGGGGAGAAGCAGGAGGAGGAGGAGGAGAAGGAGGAGGAGGGGGAGGAGGAGGAGGAAGAGGAGGAGAAGCAGGAGGAGGAGGAGGAGGAGAAGGAGGAGAGGAGGGGAGGGGGAGGAGGAGGGGAGGAGGAGGAGGAGGAGGGAGGGAAGAGGAGGGAGGAGGGGGAGGAGGAGGGAGGAGAGGAGGGGGGAGAGAGAGGAGGGAAGAGGAGGGAGGAGGAGGAGGAGGAGGAGGAGGAGGCATAACCACTACCATCATATCTGGCACTGCCTGCCCCAGACCCCGCATGGGGGCCCGACGGGGAATATCTGGGGTAGGGGCACAAGACCATGGGTGCCCTCAGCATTTTCAATGACTGATCCTCAGCTCTCAACACCCCCTCGCGTCTTACCAATTTTCTCGATTGGCCTCACTATCCTTACGGACGACGGCTTGCCCTCAGGAGTTGGGTGGGAATTGACGCTATATCTATGGTGGGTGGGCGGGTGTATCCGACACGACGTCGTAGACCTGCATCGCAGGACACACACACACACACTACGTTATCTGACGCGTGCTGTTTACAGGTGCATACTGTACGCCCCCAGCCTAGCCAGACTTGTCAGGCCAGCTTTACCAGCCTGCCGATTGTATCACCTCCCATCCTACTTGAGTGGCATGAAGGATTGGAGGTTAGGTTGAATCGGTGGAGGAGGCACGTACCTGTAGCACCCCTCCTTGAGGCATACATTGAGCGGCGTACATTAGGTCACGGCATACAGTGAGCCATCTCTTCAGTCTGCATTTTTACACTGGCTCAGGCTATCTGGGGTGCTCTCCTGTGTACTCAGGATTGAACGGAGCCTTACCACACCTGTCAGCTTGTGCACCATCAGTGCCCGCCACTAGAACAGATACGATACCAGACTCGAAGACAGCATTGATGTCCCGTTTAATGTATCAACTTACTCAGGCCTGCCTGCAGAGACAGTGCTAGCGTGCTAGCCTACAGCCAGCCCGACCCAATACTGCCAACTTACCTGCAGCATATCCTTGGGAAGGGGGAGGGGATGATCTTTCGAGACGGTGGTGGAGGAATTGAAGGACTTGTCAGCGTCCGACTTCTCAGTGGAAAGCCTTCATTTTAGACCCAGACAGACTTGTCATATACCAGATAGGCCAGCCTACAGAGGCCAGCCTTTGCCCATACGTTTAGACAACCCTTCTGACATATACCCAGACATGCACTACTTCATTCACAACTGCCCTGCATTGTTTTACCGCACCACCCTGTCAGACACTAGCGGGGGATAGGAGGGGTGTGTGTGGGATGAGCAGGGGGAATATCACTGACGACTGATGGCCAGCTTGGCCTTTGGTGGAGGGGCGTTAGCCCTACCGTGGGCCGCCGTGCGTTAGCGAGACCTCCATCACCTCACACGTCGCCGAAAATCCCAAGCCGTATGTTATATGCGAAATCCCAACCCACCAGACTTTAAATCAGAAAGCCCGACAGCAAATGCGCCGGCCACATACAGACTCTTAGGCTTACCTTAGGCCAACCTGCGCTGACAGTGCCAGTCTACTGCATCCGACGCCACTTTCAAACCAGCTCCATTTTCAAGGCCAATCTACCAGCAGTTACACTAGCCAGCCTCACTGACTATTGGAGGGGACCCTGGACCCTGAGGTGCAGAGGCGAGGAGGAGGAGGAGGTAGCATCAGGACACTGTCGTTTAATTTAGCCACATCGCACTTTAAGCCAGCTTGCCGCTGCAGCCTGATCTACTCATTCAAGGCTGCTCTCGCAGCAGCCTGCTTGACCTAAGGGATGAGGTCATTACATATGGATGCCTCGCCGACCCATGTGGTGCGACATACCACTGGGAGACTCCAGTTGAACAATTTGCAGGCAAGCCGCTTTACTGCGTTATGATGCTTTGCGCATGCGTATGTCGCCCTCTCTTGTTCGGCGTCCTCCCTCCGTACGTTCGTTATGCTTCCTGTGCTCTGGATCGGCAACGTATACACCTGCTCCCACTGGCTGCCTGTTTAGTTACAGTCGGGGCGTTGACCTAAGGAACCCTAAATAAGGAACGAGGCCCCTTTTTTCCACAAGTTGAACTTCGATTTCCTATCGAAGACCTAGGGAAAATCTAAGGCAAGCTGCGAAACACTTAAGGAACACGGAGCCCCTCCCCAACGAAAAGTGTTCCTTCTTCAGGGCCCCGACTGTATTCCGCGCCCTCACGGGCACCTCATCTTCTCTTTCGGTACTGCTTGTGTCCGCACTGGCAGCAGCCGGACTGTGCGCTTCCCATGCCTCCATCGGCGCAAACCACTTTTTCGCTTCAGGAACGCAACAAACCATACTTTCGTGTCCGCCCATTCAAACTTGAAGGATCCGCGAGCCCAGTAAGCAACTTGAGTCAAACGTTCTTCTGACGCGCGTGCAGCACTTTCCCTCTGCTTGGCTGCAGCCACGACCTCCTGCACGTCCCGGGACGTCCCAGGGGCCCGTGGACACGTGAAAATACGTGCCCGCACGCACGCGCCAGGCGCATGTTTAGGTCTCCCCTCCGCGCACGCGCCTTTACGTGCGAAAATCCGGCGAGCTCAAACTGGGCCCCTCCTGGGGGCCGCGGGACACGCGAAAAGACTTGCCTCGCGCGCACGCGCCAGGCGCATGTTGGGTCACCCACGCGCCCAAGTTGGGCCCCGGGGGAGGGAGGAGGGGGGAGGAGGGGGAGGAGGAGGAGGAGGAGGAGGAGGAGGAGGAGGAGAGGAGGAGGAGAAGGAGGAGGAGGAGGAGGAGGATGAGGAGGAGTAGGAGGAGTAGGAGAGGAGGAGGAGGAGGAGGAGGAGGAGGAGGAGGAGGAAAATATGTGCTCCGCGCGCGGGCGCGCGCCGGGCGCGCGTCGCGCCACCCCTCCGCGCGCGTACCTTCAAATGGGGGCCGTGGGAACGCGAAAAGGCGTGCCCCGCGCGCACGCGCCAGGCGCACGTTGACTCACCCTCTCCGTGCCCCAAATTCTCGATCTCTTCGGCGAAATCTGGAATCCGTGGAACTTGAAGGCGTCATTTGAGGGCGCAACCTTCCCTGTCCCCGCTTCTTCTTTCTCGCCCCTCTCCCGCCGCTCCCGCGGCATGTCCGTCGCCATTCTGCTCCGGCACAGCTGGGGTGAGGTGCCCAGTTCGAGGAAAAAGTGCTTCCGAGCACCAAATTCTCGATTTCTTCAGCGAAATCTGGAATCCATGGAATTTGAGGGCGTAGCCTTCTTCGAGCCAGATCGATCCGCGAGGGCCCTGGGGCACGAGACAAAGCAGTCTCTCCCGTGGTGACCAAGGTGCGACGCCAGGCTCTAGGGGAAGGCCGCCGATGGCCTCCGTAAGTAGACGAGCGCGTGCCACCACTCGCCGAGTAACTACTCGCAAATGGCCTGGTTTCGCCGCGGGGAATCTACGGTAAATTTCATCGAAACGGACATGAGTTTTTGGGAAGTTTGCGAGTATGCACTTTGCAAGTAGTGGAATGCGCTCGGTGATTGAGGCCCTCGGCCCGCTGCCTCCGCGCGAGCGTGGCCACCTGTGGATGGCCCCTCGCGGATGAGAAGCAGCACGGCCCCGTGCAGGAGGAGGCGGAGGAGGAGGAGGAGGAGGAGGAGGAGGAGGAGGAGGAGGAGGAGGAGGAGGAGGAGGAGGAGGAGAGGCGGAGGAGGAGGAGGAGGAGGAGGAGGAGGAGGAGGAGGAGGATGGAGGAGGAGGAGGAGGTGGAAGACGAGGCGGAGGAGAGGAGGAGGAGGAGGAGGCGGAGGAGGAGGAGGAGGAGGAGGAGGAGAAGCAGGAGGGGAGGAGGAGGAGGAGGAGGGAGGAGGGGAAGAGGAGGAGGAGCAGGAGGAGGAGGAGGAGGAGGAGGAGGAGGAGGAGGGAGAAGAAGAGGAGGAGGAGGAGGAGGAGGAGGAGGAGGAGGAGGAGGGCCCGCCGAAGGCCCGCCGAGGGCCGCCGAGGGGCCGCCGAGCTCCGAGAGGCCGCCGGGCCGGGGTCGCCCTGGGCGCCGGCGGTCGGCGCGGCCGGGCGCCGTCGTCCTGAGCGGCGGCGCGGCTGGCCGCGCTGGCGAGGCCGGAGGGCGAGGCCCGGGAGCTGCCGGAGGGGCTGCCCACCCGGAGCCCGGGGCTCAGCGGCTCGGAGGCCTCCCGGGGCGGCGGGGGGTCCTCCTCCTCCTCCTGCTCCTCCTCCTGCTCCTCCTCCTCCTCCTCCTGCTCCTCCTCCATGCTCCTCCTCCTCCTCCTCCTGCTCCTCCTCCCTCCTGCTCCTCCTCCTCCTCCTTTCCTCTCCTCCTCCTCCTGCCTCCTCCTCCTGCTCCTCCTCCTGCCGCTCTTCTCCTCCTCCTCCTCCTCCTCCTCCTCCTCCTCCTCCTCCTCCTCCTGCTCCTCCTGCTCCTCCTCCTCCGGGGGTCCTCCTCCGGGGATCGAGGCGCCCTGGTCGTGTCGCGCAGGTGCCATGGAGGTGGCCTGGCCCTGCAGCTCTGTCACGCCGGGCCCGCACGACCGACTCCGGGCCCCGGGACCATCCACGGGCCGACCTGGCCAGAAAAGTGTCCGTGAAAGATGGGGTGTACAGGGCAGCTTTTAAGACATAGGGTTTTAAACATATGACTTTTAATACATGGTCAGTTCGTGAATAAACTAATGCATGAACTCCTCGTTGTTTTTAATGCTACGTCCCTGCATTTTTAATACAGGATCCGCACGCGGAGCATGTATCAAAAACGGCACTGTATGGTGTAGGGCTTCAGTGGTGCTGTTCTGCGAAGTTGCATGTTGTTCGCAACGTTGGATCTCGGAATTGGGGCAATGAGGAGGAGCAGCTTTATCCTTTTCTGCGCGAAGCAGACCCCGATGCCCCTTGTGGATGCCTCACCACACGCGCCGCCGGGTGAGTGCGAGGCATGAGGGAGGTGCAGAGGGGAGGACGACGAGTAGGAGAACCCAGGGGACACGGCGCTCACCACCACGAGTCCGACGCCTGCTCCAGGCAGGGGGATCGAGGAGTATTGGGCCTCTGGGGGGTCCTTCTGTTCTGGCCTACGGAGAAATCACAGAAGACCTCTGGAGGCATCCAGGGCACCTCATACAGGAGCCTCCAGAGACTGCCAGGGAACGCCGCCGCCGGCGGAGGCCTGTCAGAGGGATTCATCGACCTCCTCCTCCTCCTCCTCCTCCTCCTCCTGATCCTGATCCTGATCCTGATCCTTCTCCTCCTCCCCCTCCCCCTCCTGCGCTTCCTACTCATCCTGCTCCTCCGCATCCGGGGGGAGGACGAGGAGGCGAGGAGGACGAGAACGGGAAACGGAGACCGAGAGAGAAGAGCAGGACAGGGAAGAGAACCCGTTTTCCTCGTTCCCCTCCATTCGCCACCTCGTCGTCCTTACCTTGCTCATCCTCCCTTTTTTTCATCACCCTCGTTCTCCTCCCCCAGCATCCCCCTTCCACACTATCGTTGTTATCTTCTACGCTTGTACAATGAGATGCTCACGCCTACTTCTTGTGAAATGAGCAACCTGCCTTGGTCAGCCTGATCCTACCCCCCTCCTCATTTCGTCATCCTCCATCTTCCCCCGCCAAAGGGGCCAGCGAGACTGTAGAAATGCGAAGCTGCGGGGAGGAGAAGGAAGGAAACGGAGGCGAGAAGGGCTCGGCCTCATCCTCCGTCTCCACGCCCCAGCATCCACCCCAGCCCTGATCACTCTCCTCCCTCCTCCTCATCCTCCTCTTCCTCCTCATGCTCTTCCTTCTCCTTCCCTCCCGCTGCTCCTAGTCATCCTCCCCCCGACCGTGTCTCCTCATCCACCTTCCCTCCTCATCCACCATCCCTCCTCCTCCTACTCCGGCTGCTCTTCCTCCTACTCCTCCTCCTCGTCCTCCTCGTCCTCCTTCCCCCGCCCCCTCCTCCCGCTCGTCCTCCTTCATCTCATACTCCACCGACAATGGGGATGAGCAGGTACGAAGGAGGGAAAGAATAGAGAGGTAGAGTGGAATAGGGAATCGATGGGGAAAGGAGTGTGTGGAGAGAAAGGGAGGAATGAGAGGAGGGGGGGGCGAGGGAAACGAGGACGAAGCGGAGGAGGAGGAGGAGGAGGAGGAGGACGAGGATCTTCTCCCTCTCCTCCTCCTCCTCCTCTCCTCCTCCTCCTCCTCCTCATCCTTCTCCTCATCCTCCTTCTCCTCCTCCTCCCCCCTCCTCTCCCCCCTCCTCCTCTCCCCCCTCCTCCTCCCCTCCTCCTCCCATCCTCCTCCCCCCTCCTCCTCCACAATTATTCAATATGAGTAGTACTCTCCCTCTTCCCCTGATGACGTCTTGGGAGTAGCCGCCCCCCCCCCCCCCCCCCCCCCCCCCCCCCGCGTACTGTTTTTTACACACAAGTTTCCCCGGAGTTGGGTTTTCGCTGCATTTGTTTCCAAAATGCTGCTCTCGCTGAGGCGCCGGCCTCATTTTCGGGCCCCGCTCGTTCCGAACACCACATCACACGCGCGCGCACACAGACACACACGCAAGCACACACACACACACATACACACGCACACACACCACCACCACCACCGCCACCACCACCACCGCCATCACGCACGCACGCACCTGGCCCACCACCAAACCACCAAGACGCCGCACCACGTCACACCACAGCACACGCGCACACACGCACACACACCCACCACCACCACCACCACCACCACCACCACCACCACCACCACCACAACCACCACCACCACAACCACAACCACAACCACGCACACACGCACGCACCCACGCGCACCACCACCCACTACGCACGCGCGCGCGGAGCCACAGGTCCGCTACGACACGCGTCCGCGGATAGAGAAAATCAGCGCCATGGTCAGGGATGGGAGGGAGGGGTAGGACGTCAGATATGACGCGAGCGCACATAGCTTGCCCCTCCCCCCTCCCCCTCCCCCCTTCTCCTCCTCCCCCCTTTTCCTCCCCCCTCCCCCCTTGTCCTCCTCATCCTCCTCCGACTCCCCGTCCTTTTCGTTATACTTGACCCTACTCTTCAACCCTCCCCCGCGATCATCGAGAATCATCGATCCTCCTCAATCCGTGATGTTGATTATCCCCGACTCTCGTCCTAGGTCCTGGATCCATATCCGCCTCCAAAGTAAGGCATAAGCTGGACGAACCGGTAGCGAGAGCAACTCTCCAGAGACTGCAATACCCATTCGACGAGAGGATCGAAGATCGATTTGGCTGGGGCGCACCCGTGGATGAGTGGTTCTCTCAATTCTGACCAAACGCAGCGGGCTCTCCTATTGGTTGGCGTCCGAGCCGTGGCTCGGGTCTCGCGGTGAAGCCAGGCCTGGAACAATGCGGTGGACACGGTTCCAAACCTGAGAACTGCGGGCTTCCGCACTGAGGGGAAGCAGACTCCACCGCGCTGCTCCTTTCATTCACCGGATTTCGCGGCTATCGGCCGCGTCTCCTCCTCCACCCCCTCCTCCTCCTGTGGATTCGGCCACGCACGATTTCCCCCCTACCGAGGCTCTTGGAGCACTTGGGTCTTTGTACCACCTGGCGGCTCTCTCGCAGTGCTCCGAGGTGAGGTCGGGCCGCGCTGCTGCCAGGTGTTGCCCCGGCCAAGCAGGAGGGCACTGTCTTGGCCTGCCTCCGAGGAAGCAGGCCCGAGAGAAACGGGTGAAGCAGCAGAGACGAGACGAGGAGGCAGAGGAGGGACGAGACGAGACCACGATGGACGAGGGCCTGGAGCGCGCATCGACCAGACCGCGGCTGCACCCCAAACAGCAGGCCCCGATCGTCATGCCCTTCGAGGAGGTCTCAAGCGACACCTCCAGCTTGCGGAAGAGTCGCCCTGGACCCGTGCAGCGCTGCACGCGATGGAGCTTCGTGGCATAAAGACGAACGGCGCCTCAAGCGAGGGCCCGATCTTGTAAAAAAAAAAAAAAAAAAAAAAAAAAAACCTCTACCCTGGAACACGTTGCAATTGAAAACGGGTGCGCGGCGCTGAACTGAAAGCCCCCCCCATTTCGAACACGACCGGTGCCCAAAATTTGAATATGCCGCGAGATTGTCAAGCACGTGTTCGCGGCGCTGCAACGGAAGCTACACTCTGAAACAGAGCCGCCGCCTTCCACCCACGAATGCCGAGCACACATGTTACACGAATGTGCGCGGCGCTACGGCGAGAGCTACACAGGAAGACGACCTCGACTCGCATCCCTGAAATAAAACGAATGAGCGCGGCGCTGAAGCGACATCTACATTTTGAAAACGACCCCGCCGTCAAGCTGACGCGATGTTTACAAGCGAATGTGCGCTGCGCTGCGGCGTAAACTACATGTTGACAAATAAACGCCCGTCGTCAAAACACTGTTGGGAACTGCTGAGAGGAATGTTCGCGGCGTTCAAATAATAACTACATGATTCAGAATGACACCACTTCATCCGTGAACATGTTGTGTACGTGTCTTTGAAAAGAATGCGCACAACGCTACAGCGAGAACCACATTACAAAGCGCACCTCGCCATCCGTGAAGCTGTTGCGAATTCAAGCCCAAATTGCCCAACGTACCTGCAAGCGTTCGCAACGTGCCTCCTCCGCACCCCCGAACACTGACAAACAACTACAGAGGTACAACAACAACGGCAGGCAGCAACTATTACTGCGGCCGCCACTACTAGTATCACCAGTGCCGTTGCAGTTTATCATGTTCGCACCCTACCGTAATCATCGTCCTCCTCCCCTTTTCGTCACCCTTTTCCCCTCATTGCCCTCCTACCCCATTCCCCTCCTCCCGTTCCACCACCACCCCGCGCCCCTCCCATTCCTCATCCATCCCCTCTGTTCTCCCCCGCCTTCCTCCACCACCTCCTACCTCCTCGCCCGACTCTTCCGAGTCCGATTCCGCAACCTCCTCTCGTTTCTCCTCCTCCTCTCCCCCATTTGTTGTTCCCCTTTCTCCTCATCCACGTCCTCCTCATCGTCCTCCTCCTTCAGTTGTTGGTCAGTTTGAAAGTATTTGGCAAGCGCTTGCGAATGTTTCCATGGGCGTCGGCAGCACGTTGGGCATTTTCAAACACATGCCCAAGAAGAGCACGCAAAGCATTTTTGGAGGTTCTTTAGAAGCGCCCTGCGGGTGTTTGCAAGCACTTCGGGGCA